ATATATTTATCATGGCTGCACTTCAACATTTCCAACAAATTTTAAATCGTTTAAAACAAATATCTGTAACTTAAAATACTGAATCAACTTTTCAAGTACAATCCCAGTATTTATATTTTGGTCTGGCCTTATGTTTGCTCCCCAATAGTTACCGTTCGAGTCCCCTCATGGCCACTGAGGTGAGTACTAGGCCGTAAACTTCAGGGCCCCGTGAAATTAGTCGAGGTGCTCGCAAGCTGACTCGGATACCCACGATTATCAAAAAACAAAAAACTGAATCAAAAGTAAAAAAAAAAAAAGTAAAGGAAAAAAAATTAGCCAAGCCGAGCCGTAAAGCCATTTGGCTCGGCTTTGCTCGCGGCTTATGAACAATAACCATAACTGACTCTTTTATATTTAGTTAAATATGAGAGTCAAATAAAAAAAAATGGTTCCAATCCATCAAAATAATCTCCAACTCAACATGAAAACCAATTAGTTGAAATTAAAAACTATTTTCCCTTTTCTAATTAAGGACCTGTTTGATGTGGATAATTGATAATTAGATTTAATGAACAGTGAATTTTTTGAAAAATAAGTCGTTAGAAAGTACAAAAAATTATGTGTCCATATTTAGAGTTATTTTATTGAGAAATATATAGTTAAAATGAGTTTTAAGAAAAATACTAGTAGTAGAAATAGGGGCGGACGCAGAAATTTAAAATTATGGGGCACTATCGAACTTACAAAGAAATTGAGAGAAATTTTACAATCGAAAATTTACGTCCAAAAAACATACTCCATCTAATTTTGCATCCGAAAATTTACATAGAATATGATTTTTTCAAATGTAAAATTTCGAAAAAAAATTATATCATATTCCATATAAAATTTCCTAATAACAGGATGAAAATTATATTGAGATTTGTATTGCAAAAATAATAAATGCTAATGAAATAATTGAATTTTTTTAAAGAAAATGTGAGTTAGATGCATTTCTTCAAAACTCACGTTTAACGCATTTTTAACTATTTTCGATATCTATTTGGATTATTCGATATGTCTATAATATAGTTCTCGAAATAAGTTTTGAGATGATATAAGCAATTTATAAATTCAATTAGCGTACGATCGTTGAAGAATTTTTAAAGTTAGCATGTTATCGAAATTTTCGAAATACTAATTTTGAACGGCTTACTTTGACAAGTCGTAGCATTTGCTACGATTGATTGTTTCGTACGCCTTTAACAACGTAGATAATTAGACTGTGAAAACTTCGAAATTGCATTAAAAATGCAATNTTGCTACGATTGATCTTTTCGTACGATATTAACGATGTAGAAAACTAGACCATGAACACTTCGAAATGATATTAAAGAATGCAATATTTCGCCATTCTTTGATGGAGAGTTAAGATTTCGTTAAAAGTCGAGATAAAAAGAGAAAAATTAAATTTCATTGTGATTTTGCCCATGTTTGATGGAGATTAAAATCAATTTTTAGTAAATTTTGATAAAAGTTAAATAGTTATGGATTTCATGAAATATGTTATTAAAATTAATTGTTAACTTTGATTTAGATTAAAATTTATATTTCTATCGATACCAAACAT